AGTGAAAAAAAATAAGTTTTGAGCCATGTTTTAAAACTTGGCAGGGCGCCTCCCTAATGTGCAGCGGGAGGCTACCCCATAAACGAAGAGCAGTGATACAGAAGGCTCTCTCCCCTCTGAGCTTCGTCTTAAATCTCGGTACCTGCAGGGACTGCCGTTCTGCTGACCTGAGGAGGCAAGTAAGGGTGAAGGAGCTCAGAAGTAGGATGGGGCAAGGTCATTTAAGCACTAAAAAACCAAAGATAACAATTTTAGAATCAACTCTTAAATCCACAGGCAGCCAGTGGAGGTAGGCCAGGACAGGAGTGATATATTTTGGAGTAAAAGTTAAAAAACGTAGTAAAAAAAAAGTAGACTCGGACACGAGAAAGTAAAGTCTGTTACGGTAATCCAATCGAGGTGAAATTAAAACATGGATGACTGTTTCAAAGGGTTGTCTTAAAAATTTTTTAATTTTGCCAATTGTCTTGACTGATAAAAGCAAGATCTGAAAACTGCTCCGATTTGCTTCCCCAATTTAAAATCACCGTCCACCTTAAAACCCGTTTTCGTCCAATTAGAATATGGCGTCATATGGGCGATTTGGTCCAAACATTATAACCTCCGTTTTCTTCTCGTTAATGTTTCTTCTCTCGATAAAGGTTGAGAAGCCAAAAAAAACATAAGTTACTGCGAACCTTTCCCTTTTTAAATCCCAATTTGAAATTGAGCTCAGGTGCTGCATGAACTGACCCGTCCTTACCCAGATCTTGCCTATCCATGAATGTGCAAAGTGGAATAAATACCAGCAATATTTCCACCAAATAACCATTTGGCATAACAGCATTCAATAAGACCCAAAGAAAGGGGATATTCAGCAACTGAATAAAGAAAAGAGAGGAATCTTATTAGCTAGAAATACTGTAAACACAGCAGGAGATTTATCAGACGCTGGGCAAAAAAGAAATAAAAATCTGATAGTATAGGTGACATGATATTATCACAGCGACTGGACACACCAAGCAATTCAAATTGACATTTACATGAAGATCAAGGGAATGTAGCCTTCTGCTATGTTGCCAACTCAGCCACTGTGCAGACTGATTATATATCCATTCTATATAAAGCCTATAGGGCTGGGGTAGATGAATGATTTAACCAAAAATCAAAAATTTGATTATCTTTAAAATTGTGATTTTATTTTCATTTTCCTTTGCACTAACCCAAGCTTGTAGATGTTTCACCCCAGCCTTTCAGTTTTTGAAATCTTGCTCAGCCAGAGTCCATTTTTACTCTATTAGGTGAAACAATGGATCTGCATGAATGGATCTGCATGCTAGCTGCAACTCTCTCTACCTTTCTGTGTGGTGACAAATCTTCTTTTAAGCATTTAACCAACTAACAGGAAATTTAATTTCTTACTCTTCTTAAATATAGTATAATAAAAAATCTGTGCATTTTGTTAAATTGCGAGTATATTGCAAATGTAATCAATTGCCCTGCCCTACCGTCAATTACTCAACCCATAAGCGTGCTACCTCGAAAAGCCCTAGTTGCAAAGAATCTCAGAAAAGGGACAAACTCAAATGGCACTCACAAGTATGGTTCCTATTCTTTTTTTTTTTTTTTTTTTTTTACATCCAAACTTATGGGTGAAACAACAAATGAATTTGTTTAAGTGTTGCCATTCAGTAGAGGGCGCTACTCTTAATTCATAAGCGATTAATCGATTAATCATTAAAGTGACCCACTTAGAGGAGTTATTATATCAAAATTGAAAAAAAAAAATATGTAAACATTTTGCATTTAAGATAAAATCCAGAACTCCTCAAGGGGAAAAATGTTATTTTTACCTGGTTTAATGTAGTTTAAAAATTCTTTTTTATGGACCCTTTGGTTGTCCGATCATTAATTGATTAATCCAAAAAGTTATCAACAGATTAATCGTTTGCAAAATAATCATTAGTTGCAGCCCTAGTCTGAGCAGTGAAAGATGCTAGAGCAGCAACGTGAATCTTTTGATTAAGGTCCGAGTTTACTTACATAGTATAATGACCACAAGGATGCAGAATGTACTTACTAAATAAACTGAATAGACTCTTTAATATATCACCAAAATTGTGCCTATTACTTACAAATCAAATGTTATCCAAAAGCTGTTATGGCATTTCCCTGATAATAATAGAGCATTATAACAGCTGATATGTTTGTGACACAGAGAAAACTGCTGCAAATTTAAGTTATTTAAAATATCTCCTTCATAGATTTGATTTTTAAAAGAAAAAAGAAAAACATTTGAATGTGTCTATAGAATAAGACTAGTAAAAGGAACTATATTAAGCTATTAAAAAAAGTTGACATGAAAGCATGCAGTGGTCACAGAAACATGAGTTTTTAATAAGCCTTTAGGTAAATGAACAACCTCCTAAAGGGAAATGATGCCTGAGAGACATAAATACATAAAATCTATCAAACTGCTTTTTTTCTTTTTTCTTTTTGGGAGCATCTGATTGGCAAGCCGTCTTGGGACAGTTGGCAAATGGGCGGTCAGCGGAGGAGTTTAGAGGTGCTAAAGTTCAGGCAGGAGCGATGCAGCACCCTGTGTCCTGCCAACAGCCCTACAGCGGCGCAAATCCTGACTAAGTTGTTGACCCGAGGCCCCCACCTGTCTTGACCATGTATTATATGAAGGGAGGGGGGAATCACTTTCCTTCCTAAGCTGCCTTCCAGACCAGAAGGCTTTTGACTCATGCCCATCTGTCCTGGTACGACATACATTAAAAGAAAGCCAAGATACTGGCAACCTGTCCAATTCATTAGTGCCTTGTTGTGTGAAGTGTGAACACGATCTCAGCAACCGTTTCAGCAGGGAGAAAAATGATCAGTTAGGAGGTCATTCTAAATAGTTCTCTTCAACTTGCAATTACAGATAAGAAAGATTTATGAGGTGAACATTTAGGGAATTCTTTCTAAACATAGGTACCATTATTTAATCGCCCCATTACAAACAGAATAACGAGATAAACACTGCCGTTTTCAATAATTGGCAGTCAAATTTTCTCACACATGAAAGGAGCTGAATTAAGGGAATAGAGAAACATCAGTCTATGAGTTTAAATGCCTGTGCCATTACTACAGCAACCAAAGGCAGAAGCGATAGCAAAGGCCAAAATACAAATATGTCCTAATCACTTGCAAATACCAATGTGGCCAGTCAGTCAAGAGAATCAGTTTAGTCATAAAATCACACATTTGCCTACACTCTAATCACGATCTGGGTCATTTTTGGTGTGACAATACAATAGTGGGAGAAGAATTAAATTTGAAGTGACAGTAACAAAGGAGGCGAAAGAAAATAAAGCGTTATTATTTGAACAACTGCTTTAAAAAACATGTGGTAAGGGAGAGAGTTGGCTGCCCGGTGACGGAGCGGGTAGCTGTTGTTGCCTTGCAGCAAGAAAGTTCTGAGTTCGATTACTGGCTAGGGGTCTTTCTTCATGGAGTTGCCATGTTCTCCCCATGCATACGTAGGTTCCCTCCGGGTACTCCAGCTTCCTCCAACAGTCCAAAAACATGAGTGTTAGGTTAATTGGCTCCTCTACATTGTCCTTAGGTATGAGTGTGTGTGCACATGGTTGTGTGTCTTTGTGGGTCTCCGTGCTGGCGATCTGTCGAGAGTGTACCCCGCCTTTCCCCAGTAGACTGCCAGAGATAGGCACAGGCCCCTACCTGACCCTGACATGGACTAAGCGGGAGAAGATGAATGGATGGATGAGGTCACAAATTGTTCTCACTCCACTGACGGTAATACACCAATATTACCCAAGTACCCCACACAGACGGGAGGAGGGAGGTGCAGCTAGCACACAGATCCATGCACACAAGTAGAAGTAACAACTTTTTCACATAAACATTACAGTAAAGTCAAGCAACAAAGGACTTTGGACAAGCAAGCTTTCAGGGTAATGAACAACTGAAACCCTGGAAAGAAACATCTACATGCTTGTGGTTATTGAAAGCAAATCATCATAAAATTTAAATTGTATTATGGGTGCAAAATAATTGCTCTTTGGGTTTGTGGAAAAATCATTCAGCTCCAATTCTGAGATAATGATAACACAAATCAGAGCCCAGAACGTAATAGCTGTTCCAAATCTACAGCTACAATCAATTAACTTATGTTTTGGGGAAGACGCTATAAGTCTAAGGTGTCTTGTCTTTAAAATGTTTTTTACCCCTAGTATTTATTAGAACTTACTGGAACTTACCCTCAGTATCAACTTTATTGATTATGTCCTGGATAATATAAGTAGGGACTCAAGCTAGTGTCATTAAAAACAGCTTTAGATGACTTGAAGATGTAACCAAGCATCAAAACAAGGAAAAGCTGAGGATTAAATTGATACTGAACCTGGTAAAATAGAGGCTGATACGAAGGGAAAAGCTGGATTTATTCAAGATTTAATCTGGCTGGAGGAAGGCTGCTCTGATCACTCAGACAGTGTCGATCTACTGGGATTCTTATCACCAAACATCTCTCAGGTTTAAAGTGCATGGTCAAAAAAAGTAAAAGAAATCTATTGAGCACTGTTTTCAAAGAGAATGGGGAGACTAGACTGAAACGATAGTTGGGCCACAACGGTTCAAATGACAAAAATTACAAAACTCAGTTAACATATATAGGTTAAACAAAGTTGGACGATGGCAAGATGTAAAAATCCTGTCTGTTTTAATGATTCAACACTTCAACACCATTAAACATAAGAAAAATAAAACAATGGATCTCTCTTGCCTCATATCAATAGTTAAGGCTGGTAGTGGTGCCCCTTTGGAGCCCTTAGGGTCTAATAAACATCAGTTAAACATTTGTCCCTTTACTACCAAAGAGCTTTAATCTCCTTTTATGTCAATTTGGAATATAACACCTCGTCTATTCTAAATAAATGCTAAATTATAACAGGGAGTGGAAGGCTAAAAGAGGTACTAGTAAGGTATAGTAATACTTTAAGATGTGAACATACCTGAGCTGGTTTGAGGTCTAAGTAATGAAGAATTTCTTTCAGCATAACAGGTGTGTGAGGAGGTTTTTCATCAGAAACAGATGAATCCGAGGAGCCAGGGCCAGAACACAAACCAGCGGCAGAACTCAGCTTCCACATTAATGACCTCCATGCTGTCAGTGCTGCTGGGCTTGTTTTCCATATCATTATTTTGGCGTTAAAAAGCATGTTCTTGTAATGACCTGTGGAGAAACAACAGCATGTTATGCTAATTTGATGTACTACTCCAGGTTTGTGGCCCTTTTTTAACAATATGAAAAAACTAGAGGTTATGTAGTCTGACATCATGGCTGTTTTCTTGTATCTTTGTTCATTCTGCAGGTTTGATCCTACGCTGCTGCTATGAATGCGATGTGCTGAGTAGCCTCGGCTTACTGAAGCTCAAGTCAATGTCATTTTTTGACAATAAATACTATTCATCCTGTTCTGAAACTTGATGTTTCATTCAAACTACATAGTTATTATCAAATCACATTCCAAATCACAAGTCAATATTTATCATTGGCAGAAAACATAAAAGGAAAATATTTCTGATCTTAATTTTTATTGTTGCTTTACCCACTAAATGGCAGTGATTTGGCTGTGGGGCTATGCCCCCCTTATATTACATGTAATATTATGTCAACTAAACTAATCAAACAATGATAATTTTACTCCAAATAAGAAAACAGATATACAATTCTATGTGTACACTATTAATAACTGAATAATTAATACTAAAAACATGACAAAAAGATGAGGATCTAGAAAGGGCAAAGATTATGCTCTTTTATATTTTCCACTCTTGAAAATAGGATTTGTTTCGTCTTTGTTTAGGCTTCTTCTTTCATACTTGTAGAACCATTGAAATAATTTGATTGATTGTTCTGCATTTCTACAAGTCTTTAGCCAGATGTATTTCACATTTAGCCATCATAGCCTGAGATCAATGAACACTACATATCCATATTACTAATGATGATGATACCAATTTTTACTGACTCCCCTAAAAAATAAAAAAACACGTAAAAAAAATTGCCTAATTTCGTCATTTTTCACCAATGTGTTACTGGCCCTCCCAAACAACTCACACCTTTGTCAGTGAAGCCAGGTGCTCCCACATCTCTTCCTACATGGTGGCCATCTACATTAAGATCCAAAATTCTGAGATTAAAGTCAGAATTATGAGAAATAAAAAAGGTCAGAATTCCGAGAAAAAAAAAGTCTGAATTTCGAGAGAAAAAAAGTCTGAATTTTGAGAAGAGTCAGAATTTTAAGAATAGAGTCAGAATTTCGAAATTAAAGTCAGAATTCTGAGATTAGAGTCAGAATTCTGAGATTAGAGTCAGAATTCTGAGATTAGAGTCAGAATTCTGATATTAAAGTCAGAACGTTGAGATTAAAGTCAGAATGTTGAGATTAAAGTCAGAATGTTGAGATTAAAGTCAGAATTGTGAGATTACAGTCGGAATTGTGCTTTTTTTTTCTCATATTAGCCTATACTGAAATAAAATATAAAAATCAGTTAACTTTTTTGTTTTTTTCAGTGGCCCTAACCCTCTTCCGTAATGATGACTTGTAGTTTGCAGTCACTTTTAATTGTACAATTATGAAAATGCATATGTAATTAAAACACAGATGTATATATAGAAAAAGATAAACCAGTGCTTGTTATTGTGCCTCATCAATTGCGAATTATAAGACAAATGTGCATTTCTTGTAAAGTCCTTTGCGTTCTTAAACGACGCGCATAAACTTTACACATTGGTTACTGCACTGAATCACCTTCAGCGATGCTGCTAAAAGTTAGCTGTTTACACTGAGTCACATTGAGAACGACTGAGCAACAGAGCGATTTGATTTAGTTTTAAAACGATTAAATTTGGCAACAAAATATGTTGGAAATATATGGCATTAGCATTATATCTTACAAGTACCGTAAAAAAAGATCCGCTACTACCTCCACATGTAGAGTAAAACATGACAAAGTCGTGACAGTAATACTAGTGAATATATTGACACCGCTTCGCTACCATACTGGACACATTAGCTTAGTATCCTGTTCACGTGTGTGCTAACAGTACGGAGTATTTCAATGTGCAACATTTGGCAATAATCGACAAACAATTGGCACGCTGAACGTGCCTCCAAGATGAGAAAGCTAAGCTGCAGCTTACCGTAGTGGTCTGGGTGGTAGCTCCACCTCTAGCAGCCTTAGCATGACCCCCTTCGTCACTTAGGCCCCGCCCATCGTTCTTTGACTCCCAGCCAATCAGCGAATAGACAGGAAGAAAACTCCTGTTTGAAATTATTGGCGCTTGTTGTGCTAGCCGTAGCTACGTGTTGCTAACGAGTTTCTTCTTATTTTGGTCCGAGCTAATTATATAAGGAATAAGGGGTTGTGTAAAGACAAGCAGCCACTGTTTTAACAGGTAAGAAGTATAAATTACAGACAGCTTTTATTGTTATGGCTTCAATGAAGCTAACTTAACGTACCATGCTAGTTAGCATGCGTTTGTCAGCTGTGAAAGAGGCGTTGGTGTCCGTGTTACATCGTGAGCTTTTCTATGTGTCTTATATATTTATTATATATACACGCTATTATTGGTTTCGTCTTAAAAATATGAAAGAACAACAACGTTGGTTGCCTTAAATATTTGTATAGCAACACTTACATGCATTTTACCGTTAGTCGGTTTCCATTGTCTTGAAATATTAATGCGATTTTAAAGTAAATGCAACATATCTACCATTTTAGACTAACTTTTTGTTTTGATAGGGACAGATTTCACGTTTGAATTTCAAAATATTTATTAGTGGCTTTAGTCTTTAAATTATTTGACGTATGACATTACCTAGTATAAAAAAAACTATAAATAAAAAAAAGATTAGTTTCTATTCAATGACAATCTAAATACTTTTTTGGCTTATTCTTTTATGTGCTGAATATATTTGCAATTCTTGTCTGCGTTTCACATGTCAATTTAGAATCCAATCTCTGTCCAATTTATCAATGTTCTGTTTTTTTTAACCAGGATATTAACCTGAATTTAAAGGGACATTTTTGTGAATAGTGAATCTTGTGAAATCTGGTGATACTCAAAACATTTAAAGATGAAATTAAACCAGCAATGAACCAAAATGGCTTCAACTATGTCAAAACATTTTAAAGTAGACCGCATAAACCGCTGCACAAGTAATCAGTCGCTCACTAATAAATTGTATTCACCAAAAATTAAAATTGATCACAGCTTAGTCAATTATGAAACCTGGAGTATTCTTTTGTCAATTCTTCTTAATTTCGAATTTTTACTTCTTTGCTATTTAGTTGTTGTTGTTGTTGTTTTTTTATCATTTGTAAATATTCAAGTTTGGCATGTATTCTTGGGCTATTGACACTACTTTGCTTTTGCTAGGTTTTGTTTACAAATTCCAAAGAATAATTTTTGACGAAAGAAGGTTATCGTTATAAGAATTCAAAAGATACAATAGACTAACAATAATAAAATAGACTAAGAAGTTTGTATCCCCCTATTCTTTGTAAGTTCAAAACCTTTTAGTAATATATTTGCTGTTCAAATACCAAATGTAAAAAATTCAAGATAAGCAGTTCCTGCTGAAAATCCAAGGCAGATGATGGAAAAAATAATTAACAGTTGTCTTTTTATTATGCATGGAAGGAATATTATTCTCTGTATCAAATGGTCATGGATTATTGGGCCATCCGAATCAAACTCTTCAATAGCTGCTCCTGTTGTATATTTTTTTCTAACTTTGAAATGATCTGTTTAAGGTTCCTATTATAGTCAAGGTTGTTTTTCATAAGTCAAAATAGTAAAAAGTCCACTTTTTGTGTCTGTGTTACAGCAGAATTCAAATCACGACAGCACCATGGCGGAAAGTGAGGTATGCAGCCATGTTAAAGTTGTCGTTCGGGTTAGGCCGACCAACGACATTGAGAAGAAGGAAAACTGTCGCAATGTGGTCCAAGTTGTCGACAGCCACATGCTTATATTTGACCCCAAGGAAGAGGACATGTCCTGTTTTGGGGCACAAAGAGTTAGGGGTCGAAATCTCAACAAGAGAGCGAACAAGGACCTGAAGTTTGTCTTTGACCATGTTTTCGATGAGAACTCTACTCAAGTTGACATTTTTGAGAACACAACTAAAGGAGTGCTTGACGGTTTAATGAATGGATTCAACTGCACAGGTAACACTAAGGATGCACTATTTTAATACATGTTATCATTCTTTCCTGATTCAGGTTCATGTTATCCCATTCCTGCAAAATAGCTCATCAATAGAAAGACAATCAGTTTGAAGAAATTAATGGTATAAGAGGTTTGCCCTAGGAGAAGGCATGAATCAAACCTCACCTTTTCTGAATTCCTTTAATATTTTATAAGACTCATGAACAAATTGTCCCTCAACTGCTTTCTCATTACCCTGTAAGAAGTTCTGCATTCTTGATGATTAGTTGGAATTGCTATTTTGCACGTCCGTTCTGCATCAGCTGCCAGTTCGGAGAAAATGGCAGACAGAGAGTACACCGCAAAGAGAGGAGTGGGAGGGGAGTTACTTCATTACAGCATCCAGCCATCATTCTCACTTTACTCCCTCCATACAAGTCGATCCACTTTTTCATCCCGCTGTAAAGTGTAATGTTAAAGTGGTGATGATAAAAAGAAAACGCCAAAATAAGTTATTTGGAACTGTCATTCGATGAACAATGATTTGTGTGATTTATGTGTTTTGTTGCTAAATGTAATGGGTGTACTTCTGTGGTATACATTGGTTTGCAGAGGACTGAATTTAGATTTTGCATATATTTTTCCTGAATAACATTCACTTTCTTCCAAGTTTTCAATGAAATACAAACTGCAAGCACCAGTATAATAAAAGCAAACATATTTTGCCGGAATGTTTCGACACTTTAAGTTAATTTAGGCGTTAATAAACAGTTTCAGGGGAGTAATCACACTGCTCTGCATCAGCAGTCTGCCATATGTCATTAAGGACCCTGATCTCAGACGGTTTTGAATGTTGACCCCAGACTGAACAGTTTGGATTTTTTTTTTTATTGTTTCCATGTCTGTGCTATTATGGAAAATGATAACAAATACAGTAAAGTATTTGTGTTTGTATTTTCAGACTTTTTTCCATATCCAATTGGTTTTAAGATAAATCCATTAATTGACCCCCATCCATTTATTTGTCAGTCAACCACCTGTCCAAACCATTTTGTTTCATACATTTTCCATCCATCTAGCTATTAGTCCAGTCATCCTTTACTGTTTTTTTTCATCCATCTACCCATATCCATCACTTTATAAATTCTTCTATTCATTCATCCATTGTGCCATTTATTTATCTACCATCCATCAAAACGCATCCGTATTTTGGATATTGGTCTAAGCGATCCCAAATATGTGCTGCATTTCTCTTCCTCTATTTACTTGATAGAAATGATACAATGTTAACAAATGTTACACAAGTCTTAATTTATTCAAAAAAGAAACATTTAATAACAAATCAAGCAAAGCATTAGGAAGAGACTGCACACAAGTTCAAGGCTTGCCTGCTGAATGACTAAATAATAGACCAATATGGATGCTGAGGGGGAAAAACTTGTTACTATAGACCCAAAATATGACCGGGCTGATGTATCTTGGTCTAAGTCTTGTAAGAACACTGTGTATAATAGCAGCATTTAAAGACCTGGTTTGTGGGCTTGTGTACTGAAATCATAAATTACAAATTCAGGCACTGCTATCTGTTTTTGAAATATTTATATAACTTAGGATAGAGAACATTTTCATTGTATATAATGTATTAAAATAAATTATCTTTGCATAATTTAGTGGCCTCTTGTTTAGATTCCCATCTACAAGGATTTAATTTAAGAAATACCTTGTAATTCTGTAACTAGTTCCATTCATTCACCGTATTTGCTCAGTTTGCTGTTTCCTTCACTGCATTGTTTGTGTTTGCGTTCCTCTTCCTTTGCAGTAAGCGTTCCTTTTTTATCTCACAGTGTTTGCTTATGGTGCTACCGGAGCTGGTAAAACCCATACCATGCTGGGCTCACAGAATGACCCTGGAGTCATGTACCGCACAATGAAAGAGCTGTTCAAACGAATGGATGATGCCAAGGAAGAGAAAGAGTTTACGGTTGCTTTTTCCTACCTTGAGGTATTTTCTACATATGTGTTTCCACAGAACTGGCTGATTTTGTTTAGCTGACAGAATTTATTCATAATCCAAGTAGCTTATCACTGTGTGTTTAACAGCATCACTTCAGGTTGTTGTCTTTACCAGTCATGATCTTTTCTGTACAGTCCTGCATTTTCTATGACTTTTTTTCCCAGGTCGGTTCTGATATTATTGAGATTTGCCTTTCACATTACTTCTTTGATTCACAGGTTTACAATGAACAGATCCGAGATTTGTTGGCTAATGTTGGGCCTCTTGCTGTCAGAGAGGACAGCTCCAAAGGAGTCGTGGTTCAAGGCCTCACACTCCATAAGGTTTGTATTATAAAAATAAATGCAGATCCTCCTTCTTTAACTGTAATTTCTTCTTCATGTAGTCTAATTTAGATTCCTATTCTATGATTGTATTAAATAACTTTCATGTAACTATATATTTAAATGCCTCACTTATGTGCAGTGCTTTTCATATGAAGAATTAACACAGTTTTCTGGCATATATTATTACATCTCAGAAACATTTTGAGCTTAACTTGCATTTTTATCTTTTTTGTATTTTGTTGAAGTATGGGGGCAATGGAACACATGTAAATGTGCTTTTTTTCATTACTTATTTGGAATACATTTTAGATGTTTGACTATTTTCAAACTTTATTTGAATATGTTAAGAACCTTTTCTCTTGATTTTTGACAGCCTAAGTCTGCAGAGCACATTCTTGAGGCTTTGGATTCAGGCAATCGAATCAGGACGCAACACCCAACAGATATGAATGCCACTTCCTCTCGATCTCATGCTGTATTTCAGGTATTCCATTTTAGTTCTATTAAAAGAAGAAACAATCAAATCAAATATGGCAGAGGTAA